TCTGTACCTCTTGTTTCTAGTCTCACAACGCCCCCTTGTCATTATCATGCCAATTTGGAACAGAATATGACTTTTAGTAAGAAGAGTCCAAGTTTTTTTGTTCTCATAAGAGATTTGAGGTGTATCTAAAGGAATAAGAAAACAAGTAAATGATGTATCTCCTTCCACATTTAGGACTCTCTACCTCCTCTTTATAGTCTCAGAACGCCCCCTTGTCATTATCATGCCAATTTTGATCAGAATATGACTTTTAGTAAGAAGAGTCACAGTTTTCTGATTCTCATAAGAGATTTGAGGTGTATCTAAAGGAATAAGAAAACAAGTAAATGATGCATCTCCTTCCACATTTAGGACTCTCTACCTCCTCTTTATAGTCTCAGAACGCCCCCTTGTCATTATCATGCCTATTTGGATCAGAATATGACTTTTAGTAAAAAGAGTCACAGTTTTCTGATTTTCATAGGAGATTTGAGGTGTATCTAAAGGAATAAGAAAACAAGTAAATGATGCATCTCCTTCCACATTTAGGACTCTGTACCTCTTGTTTCTAGTCTCACAACGCCCCCTTGTCATTATCATGCCAATTTGGAACAGAATATGACTTTTAGTAAAAAGAGTCCCAGTTTTCTGATTTTCATAGTAAATTTGAGGTGTATCTAAAGGAATAAGAAAACAAGTAAATGATGTATCTCCTTCCACATTTAGGACTCTGTACCTCTTGTTTCTAGTCTCACAACGCCCCCTTGTCATTATCATGCCAATTTGGAACAGAATATGACTTTTAGTAAGAAGAGTCCAGTTTTCTGATTTTCATAGGAGATTTGAGGTGTATCTAAAGGAATAAGAAAACAAGTAAATGATGCATCTCCTTCCACATTTAGGACTCTGTACCTCTTGTTTCTAGTCTCACAACGCCCCCTTGTCATTATCATGCCAATTTGGAACAGAATATGACTTTTAGTAAAAAGAGTCCCAGTTTTCTGAATTTCATAGGAGATTTGAGGTGTATCTAAAGGAATAAGAAAACAAGTAAATGATGCATCTACTTCCACATTTAGGACTCTGTACTTCTTGTTTCTAGTCGCACAACGCCCCCTTGTCATTATCATGCCAATTTGGAACAGAATATGACTTTTAGTAAGATGAGTCCCAGTTTTCTGATTCTCATTGGAGATTTGAGGTGTATCTAAAGGAATAAGAAAACAAGTAAATGATGTATCTCCTTCCACATTTAGGACTCTCTACCTCCTCTTTATAGTCTCAGAACGTCCCCTTGTCATTATCATGCCAATTTTAGTTTGGAATAATGACATCTTTTTGGCTGATACTACCAAGCCATGTTTTTTAATTATATTTAAGAATGTGTTTAAATGACTAAAGTGTTGGTCTATAGATGTTGAGTAGACGAGCAAAAAAATTCAGATTTTCTCTCTCTCGAAAAAGCTCTCCCTTCTCTCTAAAATTGTAAAGCTTTTTTAGTTTTAAGTTTTAAATTTATCTTTGTAATTTAAATCTCTAATCTTTGTATTTCGATTTAAAATAAAAAATAAAAATTTACTATTCAAAAGTTACTGTTCACGGTTACTGTTCACAAAGTAATTAACGCAAATTAGTATTTGTAAAACGTTTTATAAATTTTAAATTAGGTATTAAACTGGTATCAGTTGTCAAAACGATCTTTAACAAAACCATTGCAGATTTTGCAAAGTTTTCTTAAAAAGTTTTAAAAAACAAGGATTTCGTGATTTTAAAATTAAACCTTAAGAAAAGACCTTTCCAATCTATGAGACCACGAAGCTGATGGTGTTCCAGGCAGCAAGACCTAAGAGAGGCAGTGAGTCCGTTGGCAAGCCAGCAGCAGTGATCAACTAGAATCGGTAAGTCTCTTCTCATGAGTCTAAATTTTGTATAAATCATGGCATCCTCGTTTAGAAAGTTTTTTAAGTCGAAATATGCATCTGCATCTTCGTCACATACAACAATTAATTCAAGAGAAATAATGTCAAAAATAACATCCTTTAATCAAGAAATAACAAAGGATAAATTACCACATATCAATCCAGACAACATATATCAAATTGGAACATTTGATTTTAAAACGGCATATTCAATAAAAGAACATGAGCAAACCTTGTCTCTTCAAAATGAATTTAAAGAGATAAAATTATTATCATCACTCGCCTTAGACAAATATAAACAAAAAGGATTTAATTATATTCATTTTGGACTTATACAAATTGCTATCAAACCATTATCAAGAACGGGTATAGATTCACCTATACTCATGTTACTACGAGACAAAACCTTATTAAAATATGAAGACTCCTTATTAGGAGCTGTACAATCAAACTTATGTAACGGAGCAGTGTACTTTAATTGTGCCCCAAATTATCAAGTTAGCCTACACGATCCAACTATATTGAACACTTTAGTATTAAATGTTCATTTACCAGAAATGAAATTTCAAAACGAAAGACATGGTTATTTATTACTTTATCGAATTTACTTTAAACAATCAACTTCTGAATTTAATCCAAGATGCTTATTACAAGATGATAAAGGAGAAACGACAATATTAGCAGTTCATAGTAAAGATGCTCCTACTGCTACTTACACACCTAAGCAATTAAAATGGAATGAAATAACTATTCCAGACCAATGGAAAATAGAAATTACACAACCCCCTAGAAATTTTGAACAAAGAAATATTTCAAGAATATTCGAACAAAGAGATGGTAAAATATTATTACAATTCGGATCATTTAGAGAACCACTTCCCCCAAGAATTAACTCTTATTATTCAAATTCAAGAGCCTCATTTTCCGAATATCGTAATAATCAAACTAGTACAGATTCTGATACAGAAAGTGTAAATCAAAATACTCAACAAGATAATCAAATTAAATTTAATGCTCCAATAGCTGAACCTACTCAATTAAGATGTCCAACATCACCTACTCCATCAGATTTTAAATCTATTAATGTAATATTAAAAGAATATACAATTAATAAACAATATATTAGAAAAGATTTCTATTCAAAAGAAAATGAAGAAAAAAGAAATTGGTATTTCAAGACATTTTCTAAACAACAAACAATTGAATTAAGACAAGATTGGTATAACTTTATGACAATAAAAGAGATAGATATTCCATTTTTCACTTGGTTTGAAACATATGCAATCTCTCATAATATTAATTATCCATTTAAATCAATAAATACTAGTGCATCTTTAAGTCAAATATGGGAATTATCGGATGGTAATAAAATTAGGTCAGTCCATCCACCCTTAAAAGATTTAAAAATAACTACACCTGATAGAATACTCGTAGCCTCACCCTTTAAAACAGGAGCTAATCAAGATGATAAGAATATAATAACACAACAAGATATTAAAGCAGTATATCAACAAAATAATTATCAAAGTCAGTTACTCCATACAATATCCAAACAAGTAAATCACATAGATAATAAAATAAATGAAAGTGATAAATTATCTCTAGATAATCAAACTACCCAACATCCCTTTTCATCTGTATCAACCCCAATATTTAAACCAATTACAAGGCAAGTTAAATTCGGTGAAAATGAAATTTTAAAATCTATAGCCAATAGATTAGACAAATTAGACAAAGGTAAAAGTATCAATAATATAGATGAAAACGATAATGAATCTATTCAAACATCTATATCGTCAGAAAGTGATATACAAGAAATAAATAGAATAAAAAATAGAACTATGAGATCTAATAAACCTTATTATTCAAGGCATACCCTACCAGACTTATTATTTGAAGAACATCATAAATATTCTAACAATATGTATTCAGGAAATGGTATATATGAATGGAACATAGATGGTAAATCCGAATACGAAATAATGAATGTATTACAAGAAATGGGTATGGCAACAGCAGCATTTAAAACAGACAAAACAATAACTGATAAAGAAGCATGTGTACTATTAGTAGCAGGATTTTCTGGATCATTAAAATATTGGTGGGATAACGCATTAGATACTAATCAACAAAACTCTATAATCAATCATGTAGAGAAAATTTATACAGAAGATGAAGATGGTTTCGTTATTGAAACCGAAAAGTCCAATGCAATAGAAGTATTAGTACACACTATATTAATGCACTTTGTAGGCAATCCAACCGAAGAATTAGAAAGTAAAAGAATAATCCTAACAAATTTACGATGTCCTACACTAGGAGATTTTAAATGGTATAAAGATGTTTTTATAACCAATATATTTTTAAGACCAGATTGTAATCAACCTTTCTGGAAAGAAAGATTCATTTCAGGATTACCAAATTTCTTTGCAGAAAAAGTAATCAATAAACTTAAAGAAATCTCTGGAGGACAACCGGTCCCCTGGAATAATATAACTTATGGGCAATTATTTGCATTCGTTAAGAAAATAGGATTATCAAGATGTCAAGAACAAAAAGATAAAAAACGTAACGATAAATTCAAATTTAAAGTAACTATGGGTTCATTCTGTGAACAATATGGTTACGAAACCTTTAATCCACCATCCAGAGTTAAGCGTATAAAGCATAGGCATAGAAGGTCTAATCAAATAGAATATCATAATAAAAGAAGAAATTTTAACAATAAATCTAATAACCAAAAATATTCAAAAAATCAACATTACTCTAAAAATAAACGATATAATACAACCAATAAGCAAAAAATAGTATGTTGGAATTGTAAGCGACCTGGACATAGATCCACGGAATGCAAAATGAAAAAGAAAATTAATGAAATATTCCAAGATCAACCTGATATTCAAGAAAAATTATCTAAATTATTGTTATCAGAATCTGAGTCATCTGAAGACTCAGATAATGAATACTCAATAAACGAAATAGGAAATTCAAGTGATTCATCCAGTGAATCACAAGAGTTATCCGATAATTTATGCAATTGTAAAATTATCAATGTTATAACCAAAGAAGATGATAAACAATTTTTACTAGAAATAATAGATAAAATTGATGACCCAAATACTAAACGAGAATATTTAATAAAATTAAAAGATATGATAAACCGAGAAAATACTAGAGAATCTCCGCAACCTTTTAGTTTACACAAAATATTCGAAAAATATCCAACTCAGAGTTTGTTTAAACAAGTATCTACGGGAGAATTACAAAATGAAATTAAACAAATAAAGTCACAAATTAAACGTTTACAAGATATTGTAAATGATCAAGACATTAAGCAATTACAAATAAATGCAAGATTATCTCTGATAGAATCAAAGAATAACAATAATACTCAAGCATCCTCAAATAGACAAAACTTAGAAATTAATGAAGAACAAGATTCCGAAGATTATATTCAAATAATCAATAAAATCAATTATCAAAAATGGTATACAAATATTACTTTACATATAGGAAATGACTTTAAATTAAACATAATAGCCTTAATGGATACTGGTGCAGATTATAACTGTATCCGTGAAGGAGTTATCCCAACAAAATACTATGAAAAAACTACTGAAAGATTAAGCGGTGCTAATGGTAGTAATTTAAAAGTTCAATATAAACTACCATGCGCAAAAATATGTAATCAAGGTTATTGTTTTAAAAATCAATTCATTTTAGTCAAAAATTTATCACAAGAAGTAATATTAGGAACTCCATTTTTTACTCAAATATATCCCTTTAAAGTAACAGAACAAGGAATATCAACCAAGGTAGTAGGAACAAAATTATTATTCAATTTCCTATCGCCTATGAAGACTAAAGAAATTCTTAATCTTCAACAAAACACAATAAATAAAACGATCAATTTAATAAAAAGTAAGCAAACCCATATCCAACATTTACAGGAAGAAATAACCTATAAAAAAATAGAAGAACAACTTAATACTCAATATGTAAAAGATAAAATAAAAACTATAGAAAACAATTTGCTAAATCAAATTTGTTCCGAATTACCAAATGCATTTTGGGAAAGGAAACAGCATAATGTTGAACTTCCCTGTATACAAGACTTCAACGAGAAAAATATACCAACTAAAGCACGACCTATTCAAATGAATAAAGAATTATTAGAAACCTGTAAACAAGAAATAAACGATCTATTAAAAAAGAAATTAATCAGGCCATCCAAATCCCCTTGGAGTTGTTCGGCCTTTTATGTTAATAATCAAGCTGAGAAAGAATGTGGAGTACCACGATTAGTTATTAATTATAAACCATTAAACAATGTATTACAATGGATTAGATATCCCATACCAAATAAAAGAGATTTACTCAAACGATTATATAATGCAAAGGTATATTCAAAATTTGATATGAAAAGTGGATTTTGGCAAATCCAAGTAGCAGAAAAGGATAAATATAAAACTGCATTTACAGTACCATTCGGACATTACGAATGGAATGTAATGCCATTCGGCCTTAAAAACGCACCATCTGAATTTCAACATATAATGAATGATATATTCAATCAATACTCAAAATTCACTATCGTCTATATTGATGATGTACTCGTCTACTCAACATCTATAGACCAACACTTTAGTCATTTAAACACATTCTTAAATATAATTAAAAAACATGGCTTGGTAGTATCAGCCAAAAAGATGTCATTATTCCAAACTAAAATAAGGTTTTTAGGTCATAATATATATCAAGGAACTATCATCCCTATTTCAAGATCGATAGAATTCGCAGCTAAATTTCCAGATGAATTAAAAGAAAAAACTCAATTACAAAGGTTTTTAGGGTGTCTGAACTATGTTTCAGACTTTCTTCCTAATCTTAGAAAAACTATTCAACCGTTATACCAACGATTACAAAAAAATCCAAAACCATGGACTAGTCAACACACTAAATTAGTTCAACAAATTAAACAGAAGGTTAAAACTCTTCCGTGCCTTACTATACCAAATCCTGAAGCATCTATGATTGTTGAAACGGATGCATCAGAAATTGGCTATGGTGGCATTTTAAAGCAAAAAATTTCAGAAAATACTCAAGAAACAATAGTAAGATTCCACTCTGGTGTCTGGATAGGACCGCAGAGAAATTACTCCACAGTTAAAAAGGAAGTTCTTTCAATTGTTAATTGTATATCCAAATTCCAAGATGATTTAATCAATAAGAAATTCTTATTACGAGTTGACTGTAAGTCAGCTAAAGAAATATTAAAAAAAGATGTAAAAAACTTAGTATCAAAACAAATATTTGCCAGATGGCAAGCTATCTTATCTGTATTCGATTTTGATATTCAACATATTAAAGGAGAAAATAATTCTTTACCGGATTTTCTAACAAGAGAATATTTACAGGGTAAAACAACAGATATTCAAGATAAACAAAATGACGGATAAAAAGCAGAAGAAACCGATGAGCGCATCGGATTATATCAAGCATATGCCACACCTCCAGGGCAAGCCCCTGACTACTCAAAACCAGTATTCAGCTTTAGCAGAATTTCCACCTCTATCTTATTCAAAGGCCGTAATCTCACAGTCAGGCCAATCCTCAAACACTAATCAACCACCTTTTCAAAAAGCCAGTTATCATCTCAAATCCTACAACCAACACTTAAACACAACCCACTATACCAAAGAAATCACCCTTAAAGAACTATATTCTTACACCAACCACCTCTTTTACGGTGATGCCCTGAATCCAACAGATAACGTAACCAAAAACCGTACCTTTTATGAGTATATTCTGGTAGACTCTAAATCTATCGAAGTTACTCATTACCCAGATCCAAAAAACCCTAACCATATCTCCTATTCAACCTGTAAAATACTCCGCGTTGCATCTATGCAACAGCTTGGTATTCTCAACCTCCATACCTCAAAAAACTTTTCTCAGCCTGGATTTGTTCTCCCCGGCTATACCTACGTTGACTATATGCAAGCCTTTTTTCGTGTTCTCTACCTACGACCCTATGACCATTCCTGGTTCTTATCCTTTGACCAGCGGTTCAATAAACACGTACCAGGTTGGTTCAACGAATGGTGGCACTGGTTTGGACCCATTGACCAAATCTATCCACCAGAAATAATCAAGACTTCTTATCCATTCTACACCAAACACCTACCCAACACCAATCCCATTGGACCTCTAAACAAAATTTACTTCCATACAGACATGGGAATTCCATGGATCTGTTCTTGGCATTTCAACCTTGTCCTAGCCCTACCTAATATGCCATACTCCTTAGTCAAAGAATTTCGTGTCAAGTGGTGGGACAAATATAACATCGAAAGATGTTCCCTGACTAATATCAAGAAATTATTTGACGCAAATAAACAAGACCACCTTTTAATCAAATCCGTCTCCCGCTCTATTCCACTCTTAACCCCATCACAAATAGCCAACATTCCTCCTTATCATCCACCAACCCAAATCAAACAAGAACCACCAAGCCCAGCTAAAAACAAAAAACCATCAAGCCCTACCCATTCATCCTCCTCATCCCAAAAATCCAAATCAAAAAAATCCAAACTTCAAGCTATGAAGGAAACCCTCAAGGCACTTAGTCAAGAAATGATGAATATATCGTCCGACGACGATAGTGTTCACGGTCAAGAACCCGCCGAAAATCCTGAAGATCTATTTGGCGGACCATTAAGTCAAGACCCTTTTGTTTTGTAAAAAAAAAAAAAAAAAAAAAAAAAAAAATTCATCTCAGATTTTACGACTCACTGGCAAGGTAGATGTTCCTGGCTGCAAGTCCTGAGCGTAGGCCGTAAGACCGATGGTAAATCTCCTTTGTGCGTCTCCAAAAAAAAAAAAAAAAAAAAAAAAAAAACCCAATAGTATTGTATAGTTTTAAATTTACCTTTAATAATGTATATTCTGGTAGACTCTGTATATTATTTTAAGCTTTATGTGTATTCCGGCTATATGCTACACCAGTTAACATCAAAATAAAATACAGAGTATATCTCTGTAAAATCGAAGAATAAATCAAGACACAGGAAATATGACGCAAGCATGACGTAAGCAAAGATGTAAGCAATAACGCAAGCAAGACGTAAGCAAGGACGTAAGCAATGACGCAAGCAATGACGTAATCAAAACTGTCGGCACCGTTAGATGAACGACACATGTCACAAGTGTGTCGGCACCATCTGATGAGCTCCACGTATCAAGACTCTATACACAATCTTCTCCTATAAATATGCCCTCAAAACAAAGGAGAAGGAGACGAGCAAAAAATTCAGATTTTCTCTCTCTCGAAAAAGCTCTCCCTTCTCTCTAAAAATTGTAAAAGCTTTTTTAGTTTTAAGTTTTAAATTTATCTTTGTAATTTAATCTCTAATCTTTGTATTTCGATTTCAAAAAATAAAAATTTACTATTCAAAGGTTACTGTTCACAAAGTAATTAACGCAAATTAGTATTTGTAAAACGTTTTATAAATTTTAAATTAGGTATTAAACTGGTATCAGTTGTCAAAACGATCTTTAACAAAACCATTGCAGATTTTGCAAAGTTTTCTTAAGTTAAAAAATTATTTTATCTATTTAATAATAAAAGAAAATCTAAATTTTGCATACATAATATAACTCAATTTTTTATATTTAAGCAAAATAATGGTGTTCCAGGCAGCAAGACCTAAGAGAGGCAGTGAGTCCGTTGGCAAGCCAGCAGCAGTGATCAACTAGAATCGGTAAGTCTCTTCTCATGAGTCTAAATTTTGTATAAATCATGGCATCCTCGTTTAGAAAGTTTTTTAAGTCGAAATATGCATCTGCATCTTCGTCACATACAACAATTAATTCAAGAGAAATAATGTCAAAAATAACATCCTTTAATCAAGAAATAACAAATGATAAATTACCACATATCAATCCAGACAACATATATCAAATTGGAACATTTGATTTTAAAACGGCATATTCAATAAAAGAACATGAGCAAACCTTGTCTCTTCAAAATGAATTTAAAGAGATAAAATTATTATCATCACTCGCCTTAGACAAATATAAACAAAAAGGATTTAATTATATTCATTTTGGACTTATACAAATTGCTATCAAACCATTATCAAGAACGGGTATAGATTCACCTATACTCATGTTACTACGAGACAAAACCTTATTAAAATATGAAGACTCCTTATTAGGAGCTGTACAATCAAACTTATGTAACGGAGCAGTGTACTTTAATTGTGCCCCAAATTATCAAGTTAGCCTACACGATCCAACTATATTGAACACTTTAGTATTAAATGTTCATTTACCAGAAATGAAATTTCAAAACGAAAGACATGGTTATTTATTACTTTATCGAATTTACTTTAAACAATCAACTTCTGAATTTAATCCAAGATGCTTATTACAAGATGATAAAGGAGAAACGACAATATTAGCAGTTCATAGTAAAGATGCTCCTACTGCTACTTACACACCTAAGCAATTAAAATGGAATGAAATAACTATTCCAGACCAATGGAAAATAGAAATTACACAACCCCCTAGAAATTTTGAACAAAGAAATATTTCAAGAATATTCGAACAAAGAGATGGTAAAATATTATTACAATTCGGATCATTTAGAGAACCACTTCCCCCAAGAATTAACTCTTATTATTCAAATTCAAGAGCCTCATTTTCCGAATATCGTAATAATCAAACTAGTACAGATTCTGATACAGAAAGTGTAAATCAAAATACTCAACAAGATAATCAAATTAAATTTAATGCTCCAATAGCTGAACCTACTCAATTAAGATGTCCAACATCACCTACTCCATCAGATTTTAAATCTATTAATGTAATATTAAAAGAATATACAATTAATAAACAATATATTAGAAAAGATTTCTATTCAAAAGAAAATGAAGAAAAAAGAAATTGGTATTTCAAGAGATTTTCTAAACAACAAACAATTGAATTAAGACAAGATTGGTATAACTTTATGACAATAAAAGAGATAGATATTCCATTTTTCACTTGGTTTGAAACATATGCAATCTCTCATAATATTAATTATCCATTTAAATCAATAAATACTAGTGCATCTTTAAGTCAAATATGGGAATTATCGGATGGTAATAAAATTAGGTCAGTCCATCCACCCTTAAAAGATTTAAAAATAACTACACCTGATAGAATACTCGTAGCCTCACCCTTTAAAACAGGAGCTAATCAAGATGATAAGAATATAATAACACAACAAGATATTAAAGCAGTATATGAACAAAATAATTATCAAAGTCAGTTACTCCATACAATATCCAAACAAGTAAATCACATAGATAATAAAATAAATGAAAGTGATAAATTATCTCTAGATAATCAAACTACCCAACATCCCTTTTCATCTGTATCAACCCCAATATTTAAACCAATTACAAGGCAAGTTAAATTCGGTGAAAATGAAATTTTAAAATCTATAGCCAATAGATTAGACAAATTAGACAAAGGTAAAAGTATCAATAATATAGATGAAAACGATAATGAATCTATTCAAACATCTATATCGTCAGAAAGTGATATACAAGAAATAAATAGAATAAAAAATAGAACTATGAGATCTAATAAACCTTATTATTCAAGGCATACCCCACCAGACTTATTATTTGAAGAACATCATAAATATTCTAACAATATGTATTCAGGAAATGGTATTTTTTGAATGGAACATAGATGGTAAATCCGAATACGAAATAATGAATGTATTACAAGAAATGGGTATGGCAACAGCAGCATTTAAAACAGACAAAACAATAACTGATAAAGAAGCATGTGTACTATTAGTAGCAGGATTTTCTAGATCATTAAAATATTGGTGGGATAACGCATTAGATACTAATCAACAAAACTCTATAATCAATCATGTAGAGAAAATTTATACAGAAGATGAAGATGGTTTCATTATTGAAACCGAAAAGTCCAATGCAATAGAAGTATTAGTACACACTATATTAATGCACTTTGTAGGCAATCCAACCGAAGAATTAGAAAGTAAAAGAATAATCCTAACAAATTTACGATGTCCTACACTAGGAGATTTTAAATGGTATAAAGATGTTTTTATAACCAATATATTTTTAAGACCAGATTGTAATCAACCTTTCTGGAAAGAAAGATTCATTTCAGGATTACCGAATTTCTTTGCAGAAAAAGTAATCAATAAACTTAAAGAAATCTCTGGAGGACAACCGGTCCCCTGGAATAATATAACTTATGGGCAATTATTTGCATTCGTTAAGAAAATAGGATTATCAAGATGTCAAGAACAAAAAGATAAAAAACGTAACGATAAATTCAAATTTAAAGTAACTATGGGTTCATTCTGTGAACAATATGGTTACGAAACCTTTAATCCACCATCCAGAGTTAAGCGTATAAAGCATAGGCATAGAAGGTCTAATCAAATAGAATATCATAATAAAAGAAGAAATTTTAACAATAAATCTAATAACCAAAAATATTCAAAAAATCAACATTACTCTAAAAATAAACGATATAATACAACCAATAAGCAAAAAATAGTATGTTGGAATTGTAAGCGACCTGGACATAGATCCACGGAATGCAAAATGAAAAAGAAAATTAATGAAATATTCCAAAATCAACCTGATATTCAAGAAAAATTATCTAAATTATTGTTATCAGAATCTGAGTCATCTGAAGACTCAGATAATGAATACTCAATAAACGAAATAGGAAATTCAAGTGATTCATCCAGTGAATCACAAGAGTTATCCGATAATTTATGCAATTGTAAAAATATCAATGTTATAACCAAAGAAGATGATAAACAATTTTTACTAGAAATAATAGATAAAATTGATGACCCAAATACTAAACGAGAATATTTAATAAAATTAAAAGATATGATAAACCGAGAAAATACTAGAGAATCTCCGCAACCTTTTAGTTTACACAAAATATTCGAAAAATATCCAACTCAGAGTTTGTTTAAACAAGTATCTACGGGAGAATTACAAAATGAAATTAAACAAATAAAGTCACAAATTAAACGTTTACAAGATATTGTAAATGATCAAGACATTAAGCAATTACAAATAAATACAAGATTATCTCTGATAGAATCAAAGAATAACAATAATACTCAAGCATCCTCAAATAGACAAAACTTAGAAATTAATGAAGAACAAGATTCCGAAGATTATATTCAAATAATCAATAAAATCAATTATCAAAAATGGTATACAAATATTACTTTACATATAGGAAATGACTTTAAATTAAACATAATAGCCTTAATGGATACTGGTGCAGATTATAACTGTATCCGTGAAGGAGTTATCCCAACAAAATACTATGAAAAAACTACTGAAAGATTAAGCGGTGCTAATGGTAGTAATTTAAAAGTTCAATATAAACTACCATGCGCAAAAATATGTAATCAAGGTTATTGTTTTAAAAATCAATTCATTTTAGTCAAAAATTTATCACAAGAAGTAATATTAGGAACTCCATTTTTTACTCAAATATATCCCTTTAAAGTAACAGAACAAGGAATATCAACCAAGGTAGTAGGAACAAAATTATTATTCAATTTCCTATCGCCTATGAAGACTAAAGAAATTCTTAATCTTCAACAAAACACAATAAATAAAACGATCAATTTAATAAAAAGTAAGCAAACCCATATCCAACATTTACAGGAAGAAATA